GCCCTTTCTGAGGGGGCTAAAATTTCTCCCCCTGTCATCAAAGATGGAACAAGATGCACAAATCGGGATGACGGAAACCACAGCCGCTCCGTCTTGGAGGGCTTGAGGGGAAAGGGGTGTGTAAGGGAGGGCCAGACTGAGCCTGAGGGAGGGGTCAAACCAAGTCACAAGCCTCGAGTCCCTGATCTTCATGTCCTTAGACCAGTGTTTCTCAACCTAGGCAAGTCAGGGGTGAAATGCTAACGGTTTGGGACGGTTCGCCCAAACTGTTAGTTAAAAAAATGCTACCAATTCAAGTGAACCGGTAGTTCCGGTGGTCAGCTGTGCAACAATCAGTGCGGCACAGCTGTTGCACAGCTGATTGTTGGAATTACCATGACTAGCATTTTTTTTTTACTACCGGTTCAGATGATCAGCTGTGTGATAATCAGCAGGAAATCCTGCTTTCTAGCTAATCTAAATTGCGTGGCACAGCTGTCATCCCTCCCCTCGCTGTTGTACTTCCCCTTGCAAACTCAGAAAAGGCTTCTTAAACTTCCTTTTTCAGCGCTGCGCGGTAGTGCCTGGGGTGTGCGCATGCGCGCGAAGCGAACCGGTAGCAGACTTCAGAACATTTCACCCCTGCTCCTAAGTCAGGAGATGATGATGAAAGAACAATGAATCAGTGGGACAGAAGTTGCCTCCAGAAGTTGTGAATGCCCCAACACTGGAAGTCTTTAAGATGATGCCGGATAGCCATTTGGCTGGAATGTTACAGGGTTTCCTGCCTAGGCAGGGGGTTGGACTAGAAGACCTCCAAGGTCCCTTCCAACTCTGCTATTGTATTATTGTATTATGCCACGGAAATGAAGAATGCGGAAGATGGCAGACCTGACACAGGCTGTCTTCATTTGCGTCCAGATCAGCCACTTACCAGAAATCCCCCTACTATCTCTTGACCGCTGCATAATTACTCACTTTTGAAACTGGGGGCGTCCTCCGCTTTGACGGCTTGATCTGCTTCTGCTGCGTTTGGTGGGCTGGCACCCCTTGGTTTTCTGGACACAGGCTGGAGAGTGGGACGGTTTTGTTGCCAGCTGCGCAGCTGTCCACCGGCAAGGGCTCCCGGGCTTTCTGAGAGGCGAAATATTCCAGCCCGGGAGGTGGGACGGCGGCTGCCGGTGGGGGCGGGGGTTGCTGCTGCCGCTGGGTCAGTTGACTCAAGACCGGGGACGGCTCAGGTTGGGATTTGAAGTCTGGACAGGGTTAGGGAGAAAAAAAGAAACATGGAAATAATCCACCATCAAACCTCGCTTTAGGGAAACCTGAGAGCAGGGGAAGATGGGCCCTTTTTTTGACTTGTGGACTTCAACTCCCAGAATTCCTGAGCCAGCTGAGGAATTCTGGGAACTGAAGTCCAGAAGTTTTAAAGTTGCCAAGTTTGGAGGCCCCTGGTTCATAAGCTTAGGCCTGCCAGCCTCAACACTTGCTCAAACTTCGTAAGAGTGAGGACAATTAACCAGTGGAACAGCTTGCCTCCAGAAGTTGTGAAGGTTTTCAAGAAAAGAATGGAGAGCCATTTATCCAGCATGGTATAAGGTCTCCTGCCTTTGACACGGGTTGGACTAGAAGACCTCCAAGATCTCTTCCAACTCTGTTACTGTTACTCTTACTGAGAACAATTAACCACTGGAAGCCTCCAGAAGTCGTGGGGGCTCCGTCACTGGAGGTTTTTAAGACCAGATTGGACAATCACTTATCTGAAATGGTACAAGATCTCCTGCTTGAGCTGGGGGCTTGACTAGAAGACCTCCAAGGTTCCTCCCAGTTCTATTCTGATTCAGGAATTCTGGGAGTTGAAGTCCACAAGTCCTAAAAAGGGCCACCGTTTCCCACCCTTGCCTTAATTAGATGATTGGTCTTTTAATTTTTTTAAAAAATGTGGGAGGCCACTCAGGATCACCTACGTGTGAATTGGGCAGCCATATAAATTCAATAACTAATAATAAGACCCAGAGTATACCCATGGCAAGATAGGCGAGATATAAATTTAATAATAACAATTTCACTTTGTCGTATATACCCCTTCACAGTGCTTTACCGCTCTCTCTAAGCCGCGGGTCTTCTGTCAACTCCCAAAGTTTTCCCGACCTGCTCCCGAGTTGCCATAGGCAGGGGGATGGGAAATCGTGTCTTGCAATTGAGGAATTCACACCTCAGTCAAAACAAAACACATCCTAGCCCTCCGAAGTCAAGGCCATCTCCACGGAGACCCGCAACGGCCAGAGGGAGTGACTTCTATGACCCACGAAATTGCTTCATTGGGGAATGGGACTGGTGATGCACCTTGGGATGAGGGGGAAACGGTCAGAGGCTAGGCGCAAACTGGGTGAAGTCAAAGCTGGCTTCACTCAGATCATGCCTCGAGGCTCCCGATTCTATTAGGGAATTGGTCGGAACCCTGACATCCCCAACCTGTGGGCCGCAGCCCACTACCAGGCCATGGCCTACTTGCCACTGGGCTACGTGAGTGGTCAGTCGGTGCATGCACATCTGCATGCACTTGTGCTTCCACACTCACCTGAGCGTCGTAGCGGGAGGTTGTGCCCCCACTTGTGTCAGCATCGCCACAAACGTTGCGGGCACTCATGCATGCGCACATGCACCTGCCCCTCCCACAAAATCATCTCTTTCCCCCCCCACCCTGCCCCGAGGAGCCAACCTGGAAAAGTGGGGGAACTCTGCTCTAAGCAGTTTCCAGAGTCAGCCTCTTGCCCCCAACAATCTGGCTCCTCATTTAACCCACCTCGGAAGGATGGAAGGCTGAGTCGACCTTGAGTCGGTCAGAATCGAACTGCTGGTAGTGGGCAGAATTAGCCTGCAATACGGCATCCTAACCACTTCACCACCATGACTGACTGACTATCTATCTATCTATCTATCTATCTATCTATCTATCTATCTATCTATCTATCTATCTATC